CCACCCCTTCTCAACCCTGGACCCCTGCTCCGGCGCCACCCCACATCCATAGCCTCTTTGCCCTGGAACCCGGTGCCTGCCTCCTCCCTAGGATACCCGAGGCCCCTACTGCCCGGGCACTCCCGTTTCTCTCCCCGGAGTCTCCTTCCTCTCCTGGACCTGGACCCCGCCACTAGCCAGGGCGTCCCCGCCGCTCCACACCTGTAAGAGCTCCAAGTACAACGCCCCGGGCCGGAGTTGCAGGAGGTTCCCCAGCAACTGCAGCGGCGCGGGCCCCGGGGGCAGGTGGCCTGGGGTCCGGGTCCAGCGCAGCATCAGCGGTATCACCAGGAGTAGCACCACCAGCAGCAGCGCCCAGGTGCTGACCGCCTCCATCTCCGCAAGTTGACTCCTTCTCCTTGCTCCCAGGCGCTCCACGCGGCTGGCCCAGTCCAGGCCGCTCCCTCCGCAACGAAATCAGGCGGAGGGAAGCCGGGCAGCTAGTCCCTCCCCCCGCCTACACGCAGGATTTTCTCCCTGCCGACGGCGTTCTTTGTCCCAGATCACACGTAGCCTCTGCCTGACGTCCGGGACGTGCTCTCGAACGGTTGTTTTTTAGTCACCTTTGTTTTTTCAGGGTGGGGGTGGGGGATGGGCGGAGACAGCGCCTAGGGCCCCAGGTAGGGTGTGAGCAAACTGGAGGAACCTGGAAGCCGGAGACTTTGGCAGCTTCCAGGAGGCCACACCCACACCCGCGGTTACCCCGAACTGCCCTCCCCAGCTCCTACCTCCCTCTTCATTGTAATCAGTGTGTGCGTTCACTGGTGCGTGCGTGCGTGTGTGGTGTCTTTGAGCCAATGTCTTCCAGCATCTGGCATCTTCACCACGAACAAAGAGGAGGGATTTGACCTTTAATAAAGAATCTGAAGTTCAGAGAGGTAAATCTGTTGACCCTGGACCCCCACAGCTAACAAGGGGCAGGGCTGGGATTTGAATTTAGGCCAGTCTTAATGACTGTAGCGTTCATTTATTTAGCAGTATAGTATGGCGATTAGGAACATCAGGTCTGAAGCCAGACTACTTGAGTTCACAGCCTAGCTTCTCTGTGCCTCTTTTAACTCTTTTGTAAAATGGGAATAGTTTTCAGGATTAACTAGGTACATGTGTGTACACAATTTAAACCAGGGCCAGGGGCATATATATAGAACAAGTGTTAAATAAAAGTTAGCTAATATTCTTTCAGCTAATCGTTATAGAGGTCTCACTATAAACAAGGCTTTGTTCTATACCTGGGGATGTAGCTGTGAGTAACAGAAAGGCCCTGCCCCCTCTCTGAAGTCATCCACATGCAAATAAAGTCGTAAATTAAGATGATTTCAGGTAGTGCAAAGGCGTGCACAGGCCTGGCAGGGGATGAGCTTGCTGAGGAAGAAGATGGTTACAATGTCAGGTCCATGCTGTGTGGTTCAGAGTTGTATCTCCAGTGTCTAGAGCAGTGCCTGGCACACAGCAGGTGCCCACTAAATATTTGCTGCATCAAAGATTGGATGTAGGAGATGAGGTCAGTGAGGTCAGCAGGGACGTCTTGCAGTGCCCTGGAAAAGACTGTGTTTTATTTCTCCTGCAAAAGGAAGCAGTTGAAGTGTTTCCATCAGGGCAGTTACTCAGTTTGCTTTGCATTCTCACTTAAGATTTCATTATGAAAACTTCCAAACATACAGTATATTCACCACCTACATTCCACCAATAACATTTTACTATCCTTGCCTTGTTACATATCTATTTATCTTACCTCATTGATCCATCTAATTTTTTTGGATGCATTTGAAAGACAGTTGCAGACACCAGTACGCTTCATTCCTACTTCCATCAGCATGCATATCATTTGGTAGAATGCAATATTTGCTTACATGTCATCCCCGCCCCCCCCCAGTTATTTTACATATAATGAAACACACAAATCTTAAATCTATTTTACATGAGTTTCAACAAACACACATATCTGTGTGACCCAAACTCTTATCAGGATACAGAGTTACCATCACCCCAGAAACCTTCCTCATGCCCTTCCCAGTCAATTACTCCCTCCCACTACTGTACTGAATCCTTTACCCCATAGATTGGTTCTCTCTTTGCATTTAAAAATAGTAATTCATTTAATATTTAGTATCTTATTTAATAAGGTACTGGCTGCCCTTTGGTGAAGGAATTGTGGAGCTGGGGAGCAGGGGAAGAGTCCAGTGCAAACAAGGTCCTGGCAGAGGAGGGAGATGAGGGAAGGTATTGGGTGGGGACCAATCGGGGTAGGAAGCTAGTGGAGCAGGATTTGCAGGAGGGAGAGGAATCAGGAATTCTCTTTTGGCTCCATGAAGCCTGAGGTGCCTGTTAGCTGCCCCAGGAGTGGGTAGAGTTTGGATCAGGACCTCCTGAAATTCTCCAGATCAAGGCAAAGGAGGACTAAGAACTGGCACCCACTTCATGGTAACAAAGTGTAGGCCAGCCTTCCTGCTGCTCCCTCCCCAGTTTCAGGGCACACCCCTGGATGCCAGAGGCTGGAATCAAGACCAGAGGAAACTGCAGGGAACATGCAGGCCATGTTTTGAGGGACCAGGCTCTGGCCTAGCATAGAAATGACAAGATTGCAAAGATTCTAAGAGTCTAATGTTTTAAGATGACCATGATTGCAAGATCCTCTATATGAGAAAACTTAAAAGTTCCTAAGATCCTAAAGATTCCAAGACAAGATTTCCTACTAACCTGGTACTAAAATTCAAGCCCCTCGTGGTGACCCTTACAAAACCCTTCAGGATCTGTCCACTGGCTGCTGAATTTGACATGATATCCACTCATGCTGGCCTTCTTTCAGTTTCTCAAACACCAAGCCAGCCTCAGGGCCTTTGCACTATCCCTCTGCCCAAAATGCTTGGCCTGGAAATTGAGGTTGGTTCATTTTCTGTTCCCAGCTCAAAGTCCTGTCCCCTCCAGAAGAGACTATCTGAGACCACTTAAGTTAGACTAGCTCCTGCCCCCATCCCAGACCCTACTTTTATTTATTAAATATTAACAAATTATTAA